GCCTCCACTTCAGTAAAATCCAAAGGGTGGTATATGTACAGGAAAAAAGGAAGGATTGTAAATTCTAAAACAGGGAATATTTTAAAATAACCAGCTGAGTGAGTGAAGACCTAGAGGCTTATGGTTTATCTCAAATTATTTGTAAACAACATTCTGTCTCAGAGCTGGTATGGAGTTACTGAATGTAAGCCAGACCAGGAAGATGTGAGATGAGTTTATAGGAAACAGACCCTGTTCACTCAGGCTTCCTTAAACAAAGTTTGCCGACTGGGGTCACAGACCAAGGAAGATAAAATAATGATAACAGAATAAATATTTCTGCTGGATCTCCGTTGCTTGCACATGCCTGCTATGTAAAAAATGTAATGAAACAGACTTTCATCTCTGTGTAAGTTCGTCAGCTAATGCTTTGCCTCATTTTTTCACTGGAAAGATCTGCATCCCATGTAAAGCATTAGCAAAACCCGAACTCCACTGACAGGACAGTAGGAGCAGTTCTGCCTGGGCTGCCCTCTCTGAAGCTCCCTGCCATTTATACTTCTAAAACTCTCCCATATTCTTTGCCAATTTCTCCCTCCTCAAGCTTTTCTATTTGTTTCAATGTGGAGGTCGTGCATGGTGCAATTAATTGTCAGTATGGTGGATCTGGTGGGGGCAGCAAGGATGACACACTGGGCCAGTGGCTGTCTTCACCTTGGCCAGCTGGAGGTGTCACCAAGGTGTCATCCTGCTTGCTGATATTTATGCCTGTTTTTGCCATAGCCCTTCCATTCTGATGGCATCTTCCATTCATCTGCCCCATCCTGTGTGGTGGCTGCTGCTGATGAATGGCTTTACATTTTTCTCTTTACACTTTTCTTCCACCCTGGAAAAACCAGGGTGGGCTCCAATCCTGTGTCCTAGAAGGCTGAGGAAGAAGATGGAGGAGCTGATTGCGTGCCTCTGCTCCCCCACTCTTGTAACTGGGTGGGTTTTTTGACATGTCCTGTGACCCAGAAGGGGAGCTGGATTTCTGACGGATCTGGGTAGTCACAGAACTCATAAGTCTTCCTGCTGCAGTTTGCATAGCTGTCACAGGATGTCAGTCATAGGAATAGGGGCTGTGTTGCTTAAAGATACTTCTTGTAGGCTCTCATGTTTCCTTGAGGGGAGAATCGAGAGAAGGTAAACTGCATCTTGAAAATGTGCAGCACAACCAAACCTGAATGGAATTTCATGAAATAAAGAAATTGTGTCTGAATTTTGAAAGGCTACTGGAAACAGTTTAATTTGAGCTTCTCAGAAAAAAGTCACAGGAATCCCCCTTGAAGGAAAATGTTAGACAGTGTAATTATAGGAAAGCCTACCAGTTCATCTTATAAGTCACTTTGTGCTTTATCACTTCCATGAGACTTGATACAAAACTTCCAAAAATAAACAAGCATAAAAGCTTTGCCCTATTTTTCATTTCCATTATATTTTACAGTGAAAGAAGACAGGCAGTAAATTATTACAAAATCCACCTAAAATTACATCTTGTTTTGTAAACACTCTGAAGAACCACAGAGGGTGCTTGAAGGGGATTCTGCCACAGCATGATCCCCCACTGATGACTTCCATTTCCTTTGGTCAGGAATTGACTATTGGGTCAATATTGCCAATATTCCTTAACTCGCACCCAGGATCAAGCAATTTTGTCCAGGAGGAGTCTTTATCATTCATGATTTGTTTCAAACCTTTATTCTTCAGAAAGTTAATTGTACTTAGTGCTATTGAAAAGTAAAAGCAAAATATAAGTCTGAATTATGGAAGCAGCTGAATGGACTGTATGATTTGGACAGATGCTTTGATCAGAAGAACAGGTCTTTTCATTCTATAAAACATTTCAGCAGACAGCTAAGAGTTCATCTACCTGATGATAAAGATATAAAGGTTTCTAGTTGTGGTGTGGTAATGATGGAAGAGGGGCATTTCTCAGAGGACAATAGATGTTGCATGTCAACAAAAAAGTGAGCAGCAACAGCAGAAAAGCAACAATCAAGGCAACACACTTGGTTCTCTGTCAGAGAAAGGAGAACGCTTATGAATTTCATTGAAGTCTGGAGTGGTGAATCCTCCAAAGCACAGCTTAAGTGCCTGCATATGAGTGCAAAGGAAATAGGTTATCATGAATACAGAGGTAGAAGCGAGAAGAAAGTTCCTTGTTGGCCTGTAAGAGTCAAGCAATTATAACAGGAAAATAATTTCTAATCTGGCAGATAATGCAGACTTTGAGAAGTGGAGGGGGAGAGGAAGAAAAGTGAGCTTCCACCAAACTATAGGCTCCTTCATGTGCCATGGGAATTCAGGGTTTGATAGCTGAAGCTGCATGTAGAGAGAGGGAATCTAAGGTAAATTTTTCATTCTCAGTGTTAACGTAAGCTCATATTTTAGAGGACAATGAAAGTGCCCTTGTATATTTATTTGTCTTTCATTTCAAGCAAAGTATTTGATATTCCCCTCTTTAATATTTTTTCTGCATTCTATGAGGCAGTCCAAACTGGTGACAGTGCAAGTAAAACAGAAGGGTTCCTAAAGTAAAATTTATTTGTTTTTCATCCCCCATGAAATATAACTCTCCACATCCAAAAAATGAAAAACAGTGAAGGATCTGTTCTTCCCTTTCTGCACACGTGTAACTCCATTTAGCAGCAGCAAGATTAATACACACCCATTAACTCTTTGAATGCCTAGCTTCTGCACATTAAGAGCAGTCTAAATCTTAAGTAGGTGGATGCATGTATGTCATTAGGAAGTTGGATTTTTTAGCTTTTTACTATTAATATTACTGGTGTCTTGTCTTGATTTTCATTAGAAATTCCCCTACATGGCTGTGGCAACCATGTTTATTCTTCTGTAAAGTAGATGGAGCTAGTGTTCTAGTAGGGGAAGAATGAGGGAAGCTGCAAATGAGTTGCACCCAGATGCAACTACAAGCAGTGCTAATGGGGGGCAGTAGAAATCATTTTAGTAAACCTTTCAGAGGTCAAAACAAAACACCATGATGTTGTAAAACTAACTTGGTTAGTTTTACATTAGAGCTTTAGGGTCCATCAGGAAAAGGTGCAGCAGAAGTTGAAAGCATTATCATTATTGATTTGCACCCTGGTAATTTTGGACCATGCACATGTAGAAATAGTAAGAGAATATAAATACAAAATAAAGTCAGAACAAGAATGCAAACATGCTGCAAATTTATGCAATAATTTCAATTTACATTTTAATATTTAGGATTATTCTCATATTTGACCAGGAAAGACAAGAGGATGTGAAGGTTGCATTAACTTCTTACTACCAAATTTTGCCTCTGAAAGTGGATAATTTTTTTGGCCTGGCTCTGCATGTTATTTTCCGTTTTCCTCAGCCTCCCACACGCTAATGACTTGTGCATGGAATTCTTTTACCCTATGAATATATTTTCTTTTCAAACACAGTCTCCACAGAGGTGGAAAATGTGAATGTGAAATGAAGCATGCCATCCTCAAAGAAGGTTAAATATCTAGGAGCGTGTACAACTGTATCCTGCAAGTTAGTTTGTTGGGACGTAATTTACAGATGTTCAGTTGCACAGGCATAATTCTGCATTTCTTTCAAGGCAAATACTTTCATATCTTTGGGCATGTGATTTGTCAAGACAGCTTTGTGGCCTAGTGGGCAATGAGAATTTGCCTGAGTGGACTGAAATGACCCAGAACAAACTCAGTACTTAATCCTCTTTATTGCTGAAATCAATAAGCAGATCCATGCCAAGTGCTGACAGTTCTTACGTAGGAAGTGAAAAGTAGAAGTGTCTGCTCCTTGGAATTCGAATGTTTTATGGGGCAGAAGTTTTGTTTTGTTATTTGAAAATTAATGCTTGTTTTATAAAGCATAAATTAATATGACGTATTTTCTTTGTGCTGATTTGCACATGCAGTGTCACAATGTATCTCAAATGCCATCATCCAGAAGGCCTGATGCATGAAAAATAGCCACCTAGATAACTGAGCATGGACAGAAGGCTCTGGCAGAAGCCAAGAATCCAGGTGGGCTGGACAGTTAACAGCTGACCACACTGGCTCACGAGCTACCCTTCTGCAGAGCCCCATCATAAATAAGGGTTTCCTCCTTTCCTTACATTAGTAGATCCTGGATATATTCAGCAAGGGGATTTCTTTTTTCAGGTTTTATTATATATTTGAGGTAAGGAAAATTCCAAAATCTTAAATTAGTTTTTCTAGGGTTGATTTTTTTATTACCACACAACAGCTGATTTCCCTGTAGTTTAACATAACACTTGTAATTACAACTTGTCTTGAAGAAAGAGAAACGGTAACAATAAAAATGAGAGTGACTGAATGGGCAAAAGTTACTCATAAGACGTGTGGTTTATAACTTTGGTAAATTCAGAATAACCCTCAAGTTCTGTTCTACCTCTCTGGGAAACAGCCAGAATTCTGCAGTCCATGGGTGTCTCTGAAGGGGGAAGAAATACGGAATAACCTTGTGTGCAAAGGAATCATAAGGCGTAATGCCATTTATACCCATGGAAGTAAGTATCTTATGACGGACATAGTGAAGAGAGACTTTTTGTCAAATCTCTGGGGCTACTTGCCTGTCCACATGCTTGTTTATACCATTTTTGTTTACTTGATATTGGAGAGTAATCAGAATAAAAGTTATACTGAATTATGAGCCTTGTCATAATAACTCACGTAGTCATGAGTTTTGCATGAAAGTATTAAAACTTTAAACAAAACAGTCTTCTAAACGCCTGTCCTGGCCCCGCAGTCTTATCTTGCTTTTACACTTTCGTTTAAACTGTTCCTTCCTTTTTTAATTTATTTGGAGTTGATTCAATGACTCAGCCTTTTTTTTTTATTTCTTGCAGATGTTAAAATGATGAAACCCTCCCTCCCTCCAGAGCAGTGCACAGCAGCCATGGCATCTCCTCTAGTCCTCTGTGGAAGGTACGTTGCAGCCTGCTGCTGAACTGTTATGACATGTCTCTAGCAATCAGAAAGAAAAGCTGGGAAGAGCATGTGACCCAGTGGATGGGATTGGCTTTGGAGTCTGTGGAGTATAATACAGCATGTCGTCACGGACTTGTAGGTGCTAACTTGCAGACAAGTATGGAACAAGATGAGGTTTTGAGCGTGGACCGGAAAGAAAAGTGCGCTTCATTTCCAGAGTGCTGTTATAGTGGAGATCTGATTGGCTTCCCTGCAAAGCAGCTGGGAAATGTTTCAAAGGAAGTGGATGAAAATGATAACCATGAGGATGAGGAGTGTTTTCTGGAGGCTAGCACAGAAACTCTAGTCCATGTGTCTGATGACAATGATGACTATCCAGCACTAAACCTGGATAGTGTTAATTACCACATCACTGCTGTAGGAGGGGAACCAAAAGATGAAGAGTTGAGTTTAAATGGAGCGGGCTCCTTAACACAGATGTTACCAATAACAGAGTGTAACAAAGCAGCTGAAGCATCTGGAATAATTGAAGATACAAGTAATGAACCTGGCTGTGACACGGTTCCTAAAGAGGAGGTGGAAGACAACGACGTTTGTGGCAGTATTGGCCAAAGCCCAGAGCTTTGTAATTGTGAAGGCTTAAATGAAGTAGTTGTAGAGGAAGAAAATCGCTCTAATTCGCCAAATGTGAAAGAAATTATTATGCCTGGGAAGCAGCTGCTTCATACTGCTGTAATTGCACAACAGCGCCGGAAATCTGATGCTTTTAAAGATGGGCTTGGAAAGTCTGAGTGTAATGTGGTAGAGAGTGGGATTTCTTCTGAATCATGCAGCAGCAGTGACAGACAACTCTGTTCAGCAGTGGAATCCAGCGACTGCCTTATGCAATCTTCTCCTTGCTCTCACATCTCAGCAGTGGAAAATGGTCTGGATGAAAGTGGTTTCACAGAACCTCAAGTGGCCCCTGAAAACAAATGCCTTTCAAATGTCAGTTCAGCAGAAGACATTCAGTGTTTACATGAAAGGAATCATTTGACCACACAAGAATATTCAGACACTCAAGTGAAACTGCGCAAAAGAAAGGTAGGATGCTCATAAACTGCAGAGGATTTTTCTAGTGTTTCCCCCCAGTTTCTTATGAAGGTGATTCCATGACTAATTGATTGGAAATAAAATGTGGTTTTCAGTCTCATTTCATTAGTTTGTCAGATTTTTCTTCAAATGGTTTTGAGAAAAATGTGTCTGTAAAACAACTGAGTTTCGGGAGTTCTTTTTAAAGTCTGAAAATGGTTGAGCCATGAATTTGGAAGATACCTTATTTTCACTTTATAGATATCTTTTATGTATGTTGTTCAAGGCTAAATGAATAAGTATCTTCTATGGGTTTGGTTTTATTTTTGTTTTTTGGTTTTATTTTTGTTTCTTCTGCTGCTATCAAGTATCATTATCTCTTTCCTCTTAGGAAACTGTGTCCAGGGTTTTGGAAACCTTTTTGAAAAAAGAGAGCAGAGAAAATATGCAACAAAACTTTAAAAGGGAAAAAAAGAGTGGAAACAATTTGCAGAAGTTCTTTGGTTTTCAGCTCAGCCCCATGAGCAAATGTTCATAAAAAAAAAAAAGTTTGCTGAGCTTGAAAAAATGTTTTGAAATTTTGAAGAAACCGGAGAGTTTCACTGTCTACAAAGAGTAAAAAAGAGTATCATTACAAAACTTTAATGGACAGATTCACTGGCAATAAAACTTCCATTGGCTTTAATGGAAGGAGATGTGCTGACTATAGGACAACAGAATTCAGCCTAAAGTCTAACACTCCCGGTTATGCTGCTTGTTCTCGCAAATAACCAATTTGTAATTGTTAACTTCTTATTGTCTTTTTTCATTTGACATCATCCAGCTTCTTTTTTTTTTTGTTGTTGTTTTTTTTTTAATAAGTCTGGTTTCTATTAAGTGGGGGTGTGGGGTTTGTTTTATCATCTGTAGTGCCTCAGTAACTGTTTCACTAAAGCACAAATTCACATCTAAAGTACTCTATGCCAACATAGCATCCTGAGCTGCTGGCCATTGCTTCCTTGTATTGACCCTTTAGTAATGTTAGCATGCAATTGATATGGTTTGCAGCTGTAAGTAAATTTTGCAAAAGGTTTCAGAAGCCCTCAAAGCCAGTCTTCCTTTGGTAGTTCATGCAATCACGGTTCATGTGGTAACTGTTCAACTGATGCAGTAAGTAGGCTCTGAGTTACAATTAAGAAATGGAAACTGCTAGCCAGCAGTACCAGAAATGCTAAACTTACCCACCTGTAGAAAACGTTTCAAGTTTAAAAACATAAAATTTAACCAAATTAATATTATATTTGAGAACTAATTTACTATTATAAACATATTCTCAGCTGCTCTTCTTTAGCATTTCCTTTTTTTCTAAGCATAGTTGCTAATATCTATGTGCACATTTCATACTGTTAGCAAGATATACCATGGTATATTTTTTAAAAGCTTTGATCCTGCTAGTTTCCATGTATCACCTTGTCTCATTTCGAGGTCATGTACTCATCTTTTAAATGTACACTCGCAAGAATTATATTTGAGAGTATATTTGTGTTTCTGCCACTAAATATTTAAAAAGAGGAAATGTAAAAATTCCAGTGAGACCAACAGTGAGAAAATATAAGAAAAGATGTGAGCATAGAAAGGAGCAAAACAAGGAGTTCCTTCAAGGAAGGTTGAGAGTTATGTGACTGCAGCAATTGTGAAGCTGTGTGCACTGTAAAAGAGGATATAGTCTGTAAATCTGAAGGAATGACCTTGTACCACTTTGGTTAAGTAAGTCTTTACCAACAGCTGTAAAATATTTGGCAAAAGGGAAAAGATATGATCTGCTGTTGCTTGTGATATTACTTCTCTGAGTTTACAGGACACTTCTACAAACAATGTTTGTGCATGCAGGATTTTATCACTTATATCTAATCATGCACTATTTTACAAAAGATTGTCTGTGTTGGTAATAATCTGTAATGAAAAATGTGCCTATGTTTACAAACTTTCCCTGAAAGCCACTTTTGTAATTTTAACAAGACATTAGAAAAACAACAGACTTGAAACTGAATCCATCCATAAAACCCAAGTATTTGCTTTGCAGTGACAGGAAGAATTAAGGGATTGGGAATGGTATATAAAACCTTTTCTCTTCAGGTCAGCAGTTCAAACAGCACAGTTAAGGCCTAAAACACACCACTGTCTGATTAATGCTCAGTGTCAATTGTAGTTGCACATAAACATGTGCTCATAAAGGGCAGAATATGGGAAAAGGCACATGGAAATGAATTGCTAATTGTATTTGGGCACCCAAACCTGCAGGTGGCACCTTGGTGGATCATAGAAAGGTACTGAACTTCAGCTGCTTCATGATATCTAAGATCTTAGGACCTTTGAGTAGTCTCATCCTGCTCTTACTGGTACCCAACTCTTCTGAAAACCTGTTCTTCATTAACATATATTAAACTGCTTTTAACTGTGGCAGTAGACCGTGACCTCTCCTCTTATCTTCGCATCAGCTGAGGTGAGACAGTGTGGATCTCTTGTGCTTGCTATGCAGATGAATGTAGGTTTGAGGGTTTAAGGGCTTAAAGTTTAGCATCTTTGACCAGCACTAGCTCCATTTCAGTAAATTGCTTTACTCGTGATGGATGCACTGACACTGAAGATGCTTTTTGCAAACAGGTCCAGCTGTTACAGCATTCTTTGCTCCCTCAAGTCACCAGGATTCAGATGGTTGATAAACAGCACCTTCTTTTCCTTTGCTTTCCCAGAAAGACTTTCTAAGGCTTGGAAATAGGAAGCACCTGAATTTGATTGTGAGAAGTTAATGGTGCTAGGTCTGACTGAAAAATCCCACACTAATTAAGCTTTCCAGGTTTTGTGTTGACTGATAATCAAGGGGTTAATCAGGGTATCAATGTGTCACTGAAAAAGGAATGAAGTAAACGTTTCGGTGTATGAATTCCTTATCTCTCTTTTATGAAACTGTTGCTTTTTATATTTATTACTTGCAATTCTTCATGGTGGCCTGCTTAGAAGTTTTCCAGTTTCAAACAGTAGATGTTATCTCATTCCTACCAGACTAAAGACTCACAGCCATTTCCTAGTGTTCATTATTATTGCTACTATTTTAATCCAGATTTCTAGATTAAATGCTTTGTGGTTTGCAAATGATACTTAAGGACACAGCTAATGTCACCATGACAGCAGCCACCAGTGTCACTGGGATGCAAATTAATTTAAGAAAAATATTATCAGAAGGATGGCAGTAAATGTAGAATTAAACCTGAATAGAATGTTACCTGGGGTGACACAGGTCTTTGTAGCAGTGCCTTTCCCACACATGAAAGCTGTGAATTTTCAAAGCATGGATTTACATTTTCTGGACTGTTCCAATAAAGTTTGTTTCATTGTTTCATCAATTATGATTATAGTAATATGAGGAAAAAAAATTGCGTAGTTGAATTTGGGTCTTTCATCCATATATGCTACTTGAGTATTATGCTTGCCCATGAGACATGAAGGCGACCGTCTTCTGTTACAGTCTGTATTAAGTTCTGTTTTACAAGGCTGAAGCTATACTCTTTATGGCAAGTTAGAAAGTTAGGTTCTTCCAGGATCTTCTGCTTTTATCACCCTGTAAATTGACTCCACAGGAAGCCTATAGAGCCTTGCCTGCTGATTTAGTCCTCCCTGTAAGGTACCTGGGAGAGGCAATAGGAAAGCTTCCAAAAGTATCATAAGAGCTACCTATTTTACTGAAATGGTTTTCTTACGATTTTTTTCCCTGACATCTCTACTATTCACTTTGCATAATGTTTTTCAACTGAGCATTCACTTGTCAACAGTAAATGGTTATATAATAAGTTATGTGAGCTTGTTGTGAACAGTAGTATCCAAAATTTTAGATCTTTTTCTTATTTTATTGCAGTTAAAATACCAGAGATTGAGTTTCCAGGTCTGTCACAAGTGTGTCTTTCTGAAATCTTAATCTCCTTTTACCTTAATTTTGATCCTGAATGAGGATAATTTAATGATTGATTCTTTTTTTCATAACAATTTTAATTTAGATTTTAAGACTGTCAAAGTGTATTTAACATTTTTTAATAGAAACTGGTTTAGTAGGGATCCAGTCTAAACTAATACAGGTTACCTAGTTAGTAGTTATTGCAATAACAACTCAGGTCAGCATAGGAAAGACAAGCATAGAAGATAAAAGTATGAATAAAACCAACAGCAATGTACAGTAAATCTTAATTAAAAATTAAATGCATTTTGCTGTATCCTGATTTTCTCATAGAAATTTAATTTACCTTTTGCTGTAATTCAGTCTGTGACTGTGTCAGCCAGAGGAAGATGACAGCTCTAAAAGTTGATGATTTTCAAAGTGAATTATCTTTAATTCCACTTTTGCAAAATACGGTGTTTAAATGCATTCATTTCCTACAGTTTATGTTCTTCCATTGAGTATTTTTAAAAATAATCATCTTGCAAATATTCTAATGGAGAAATTCAGCAACCAAGAAAAAATAATCCGCAATTCTCAGTTTGTAACGGTCATAAAAAGTTGGACAAAAACATATGTATATGTTGTTTGAATGTTGTAAGATACCAAGGCTTCACCGCTTCAGTATGGTCATGAGGAGATCAAGGCTTCACTGCTTTAAATATAGATACTAAAAAAACATTAATGGATGCCAGTGGAACTGCTGTGTTCTTAGAACATGTTTAAATGCCTTGCAGAACTTGGGTGCTATAATAATTTGTAACCTTAGAGACTTAGAGAAGCCAGTTACTATAGAAGTAGTATCACAGCAGAATTACTTTCAAATCGTATGTTTTTTTGACTGTATTTCCTGTAAAATTCAGACCTGTGCTTATGCCAGAATAGTTTTTTTTCAGATATAGAGATGAATAATAGAATCTTGGCATCTAAGGAATGGTTTTCCCCAGTTTTGTGAAGAACAATTGGAAATACAAATATTAGAAATCTGATAGTCTCTTTTTAAAGATGATCATTCAAACTACAGAAATCTATTTTAGCATGTATA